ACCCTGGGAAAGTCACGTGATGGCTATCTGCCTGTTTGCTCAATTGTAAAGTGGCAATAATAGTAGCGCCTACCTCCCAGGATTGTTGTGAGGATCAAAGGAGTGAATGCTTGTGAAGCATTTAGCACAGTGCCTGACACATAGTGCTTAATAATTGTGTATTTACTTCCCAGTTCCCTAGTTGCCTGCCTCTGGCTACCCTCCACCTTATCGGTGTTCTTAAATCTTGGTGCCAAGAGCTGAATTTGGTACTCCAGATGAGGTCTTTCAAGGGCAGAATACACTAGACTTATTATCTCCCAGAAATTATTCCCCTCTTACTGTAGCCCAAAGTCATGGTACCTTTTTTGGAGTGTCACATCACACTAAGCTTGCAGTCCAATAAGACCCTTGAATTATTTTTCACAGCTGCTTTCTATCTATTCCTCTCCTATCTTATACTAGTGAAGTTGATTGGGTTTTTTAATCCAAACATAGCATTTTAAAAGTTTCCTCATTGAATTTTATCTTATTATATTCAGCCCATTGCTTGAGCCTTTCAGCCTTTTTTGGACTCTGACTTTCATCCACTACGTTAGCTATCTCAGATTTTTCTTGTCTGCAGATTTGAAGAGTTTATTAACAACTATGTCTTTTTTCAAGTCATTGATTGATCTCTTATCTAATCTCCTTGTCTCTTGTAGTGAAAAGTATTTCCTTCCCTGTTGCAATTTGTTTATAATATGAGCTTTTATGTATACTCATTGTATGTATTTGAAATTTATTTTGGGGTGTGGTGTCCACTGTTAGGCTAAACTTGATTTCTGTCTTCGCTCTTTGATTGATTGGCTTTCCTTAAGTATTTTTCAGTGTTGCATGGGGGTGGAGCATTAAGCAGAGATGAGTCTGTGGAAAAACAAAAGGGAAGAATAAAATTCAGTATAACAACAAAATACACAAATAAAAAGAACCTGGATACTTACTGGGACATCCTGTTCTAGGGCTCCTTCTGGCTACTTCCCCCTCTCTCTCAACCCAGGGAATAAGAAGTGGCTTCTTTCCACCATCCTGGGTTCTGTCCCATTCGCTTTTCTCCAGGAATTGTCCACCCCAGCCTGGAAGTAGAAGTTTCTTCATGGGCTTATTCAAATATTATTTTCTATGGTTTGTCTGGAGTTTCTGTGGCATCCTATCCATGTGAAACATTGAGAGTATGGAATAGTTTCATAGCTGTCCTACCTTCAGACCCTCTGTCCAGGCATATTTTGAAAGAATACTGATAGCAATTGAGATAAACTTAAAACCACTGTTAGAATCAGAAAATTGACTTGTGTCCAACGAGTCATCTTTCCCATGGGCATCTGAAACTGAATGTGTTCCTAGGAAAACTAACCTGCTTTGATTTGTGGAGAATGTAAGTATCATCCCCACCTTCAGTCAGTCACTTACCCCATGGTCCACTCACCCACTCTTTAGGGCTTCCAGGGGAAAAAAAAAAAGATGAGATACCTTTAGCTGTCCCCATACCAGGAGTATAATAGCCTCCCTTTAAGTAAGGGCTATGCTCTGACCATACTAGTGCCCCCAACAGAATGATAAGGACATATAAAATTTATTGAGATGGAGAGAGTGAATATTAGTATCTAATAGTATAACATCAGACAGCTTTTTTATATGTTTATAGTTTTGTGTTGATCAGGAGATCCCCATAATGTCTTACAAGTACATCTTTACTAACCCTCTTCTTGGGTTTGGAGTCTGGCTAACTTCATTGTGGGTGACCTTTTGGGCATTCTTTAAGAGTTGTAAATCATACAGCGTGGTTATAAAAAATGGACCATATCTGCCATTATATTCAGGTGGCACAGTGGATAGAGTGCTAGGCTTGGATCAGAGGAAGGTCCGAGTTTAAATCTGGCCTCAGACTCTGTGTGGCTCTGGGCAAGTCATTTAACATTATTTGCCTCAGTTTCCTCATCTATAAAATAAGTTGGAGAACGAAATGGCAAATATCTCCAGTATCTTTGCCAAAAAAGCCCCAAAAGGGTCACAAAGAGTCAGACACAACTGAAATGACTGAACAACCATAAGCCATTATGTTCAACACTGATGTGATAAGGTTCAGCACTTCGGGAGATTTCTGTATTTGTAGAGATGTCACACATTTCTATATCCACAGCTTCGTTCAGGCCCTTGATTGCAGAAGAACAGCTGCTCAGGTCTCTTCACTACACAACCACTTGATTTCTGTCTTCGCTCTTTGGTTGATTGGCTTTCCTTAAGTATTTTTCAGTGTTGCATGGGGGTGGAGCATTAAGCAGAGATGAGTCTGTGGAAAAACAAAAGGGAAGAATAAAATTCAGTATAACAACAAAATACACAAATAAAAAGAACCTGGATACTTACTGGGACATCCTGTTCTCATACCATTTGGCCATTTTAAAAGGACTTGCCCCATTACACCCTTCACTACAGGAAGCATCATTCATGAACGGAATGGCCATCCCAGTTCTAAGAGCTAGACGGTCGGATTTCTGGTTCTGACCATTCCCCTTTTCTTCCTTTCCCCACATCCCTTCCTGCTCCCTGCAGACCAGGAAGGCACCTTTCTTTGTCCTCTTCATGTTCTCCAAGGCCAGGGAACAACAGCTTCTGCAAGTTCTGTCCCACTGTCATTGGTAAGGGCTTTAGAGCATGTGTAAATGTTCTGTGACTTGTTCTAGTCTGATGACCATGAGGTAACCAGGAGCCACTTTGGTTTCATACTTGGACCTTGGGGTTGGGGGGGAATCCAAAAGGCGTTAGTCATCTACAGTCTGCCCCTTCTCTTCTGGTGACTTCTTGCTACCCGATGGCATTCGGGTAGGAAGAGAGAGATGATACTGTGAGGAAAGAGACCTCAGACCTTCTTCATCTGACACAGACAGACACATGGCCTTGGTTCTCTGCCCTTGCTTGTGATTTCCTTAGAAATAAGTACAATTGGAGGCTATGATTTTGAGTGTTGAAAGGCCAGGGGAATGAACCATTCAGTAGTCTGTGTCAGGGTTTGTGGCCAGCCAGTCCAGCTTTGAGGCCCTCAAGAGCAACCTTTGAGAGCCAGCCCAGCAGTAGCTGAGACAAGGGCTTAGCCAGTAGTGATCCCCCCCACCCCAACCCCTGCTTCCTTTTGGTTGTGATGGGTGGGACCAGTGATATGTTGAAACAGTTAAAACTGAATTCACTCTCCGTGGGAACCAAGGTGGTGTTGGAGAGAGTATGTTCTCAGGATGTATGTGCAGGGAAATGTTTGTGTTTCAGTTATTGCTATATCATTAAAGTAAATATCCCTTTGTAAAAGCTTTGTCGTGTTTTTGTTCAGTCATTCGGTTGTGTCCTACACTCCGTGACCCTATGGACTTTGTCCATGGGGTTTTCTTGGCAAAGATACTGAAATGACTTGCAATTTCCTTCTCCAGTCTGTCCCTATTTTACAAATGAAGAACTGGGGCAAAAAGAGGTTAAGTGACTGGCCCAAGGTCACACACCTGGTGTCTGAACTCATACCTTCCTGATCCCAGGCTCCACGCTCTATCCACGGAACCACCTAGTTGCCCTTTTGTAGAAGCCGGTTGGTGTTAATTTGTGAAGTGGAACTGTGGCAGTGGTCACTGGTGGCTAGCAGTAGGGGAATTGTGTGGGGACCTTTAACCTCTCAAGGCTACTAAGAGGAAGAGCTAGGAGGCTTTATCCAGGAGACAATTGGGCCAGAGTACTAGCTATTCCCCCTTCCATCAGCTTCCTCCTGCTTTTTTCCCCACTTACTGTTGCATGGTAGAGGCAGTAAGTAGGTGGTGTGGGGGACAGAGCTCTGGGCCTGGAGTAGGGCCCTGGGGGGGAAAGACCTGCATTCAAATTCTTCCCCAGACACTTAGAAGCTATATGAACCTGGACAACCACTGAACTGCTGTTTGACTCAGTTTGCTCAGCTGTAAAATGGGGATGATAATAGCACCTACCAGCAGGTTTGTTGTGAGGATCGAATGAAGTAGTATTTGTAAAATGCCGGCTACAGTGTCTGGCGCATAGCAGGTGCTACAGAAATGCTTATTCTCCTTCCCCCCTGCCCATGGGATATTTTGGACCAACTTCCTAGTTTTTAACTAGCTAGCTGTATTGTTTTTCATTGAAATGTTTCCCTCAATAAGTGTGATATCCAGTTTAATTCTCCCGAAGGCATTTCATCTATAGTGTCCACAGGGGAGTGTGGGTGAAGGTGATGAGAGGAGAAAACTCACCAGTCCTGGGTCTTCGCAGTTCAAGCTACAGTCCAGTGGTCCTTCCCCTTCCCCAGGTGGATCTAATTTTGCTTCTCTGTATTATTTTTCCTGCCTTTCCCATTCTTATTCTTGGGGGAGGAGGGGGGGTTTCAAAGGTGTTTTATATTTGGTGAAGAAGTTTTGAGATGAACATAGTCCCCCGGCTTTTCTGAAAAATATTTTTGTCTTGATCTAAAGATCCAATCATTGTATATTAAGCACGTATATTCATATATATAAGCACCAAAATGTAAGGAATACTGCTAAAATACCACTGGCTACCAAGGAATTGTAAGGAGATAAAAGATGGTTCTCCTCACACTGGGAGGTGGGGGAACACAGATGTCCTAGACTTGTGTATATTGGCTGTGGCCATGCTGTCAAATGGAGTTAGTTACCTGTTTTGTTCTGTATCCTGGGGGGAGAGGAGGGAGTTGGAGATGAGGAGGAGGGGCATTAAGGGAAATAAAAGCTGGGTCAAAACAAAAGGGAAAAATATAAAGTAAAATAACAATACAGCGCAGAAAATATTTGGAGCCCTGGCCTTGCTGGGACCTCAGGTATAGGTGGGGTGGAGTAGGGAGCGGGGAGAGATAATACTGCTCTTCCCAAGCGGCACAGTCTAGGAACATGCGCAGAAGCTTTCCCTGGCCTTAGGACCACATTTCCCACAAGTCCAGGAAAAGCTCTGGGTCTTTCTGCGTAGGTCTGCAGCTGTGGACACGTAGGAACTACAGCTGGTACCTTGGAGAGCAACTGGAAGGAAGAATCTCCGGAGACTTCCAGTTCTTTTCATCTATTCTCCCTTAGGCACTTAGCAATCTGCCCCTCCTTGGTGAGTGTCACCCGGTTAGCACCAGGGGCACCCAGGCGGCCTTTGGAGGACCTGACCTGGCCAGAAGCCCTCCTCCTTTTCCTGCCCCTGAGCCTCAGTCTGGGAGGAGGGGGGAGGAAAAAGAAGAGGGGATGGGGCGCTGGCTGCTCGGAGCCAGGGTGGGTCTGTCTCAGCTTCCTTTGTCCTGGAAGCAGCAGGAGAGGGGCTTTCTGTGAACTACTTGCGTGTCTAACCCTGGACAAATGGAGCTCCTCTGAGTCTCAGTCTTGTCACTTGAAAATTGTGGGGAGGGGTGTGGAACAGGGTGATCTGGTCACTCAAATGCCTTCTAGCCCAAAATCCATGGTCCCATGAATTCTTCCTGGTGCTGGGAGTAATAAGAAAATGCTGGCCTTATTCCTGCTTGATCTCTCCTTCCCAGATCTGCCTTCTGAGAACTCTGTTGTTTTCTAAAAGGAGAAGGAAATGGTCCCTATTGGCCCCCCAACCAGCTTTCAGGTGAGTTGGAGTTTCTTCATGACCAAAATAATTAAAACCTTGATTTTATGTATTGGAAACCAAGAGAGAGAGTCTCTACCTGATAATTATTGCTTTATACTTTTCTAGCTTTCTTTTCCTCCAGTCCTCAATTCATTGGTCAAGACAATCATGCCTGTTAAGTACTTGGTACTGAGCTAGATGCTGTAAGGGGTGAAAAATAAGTATATGTGGCTGCCCCTTCAAATAAAGAGCTTTGAGTTTCATTATGGAGACTAGATCAAGACTAACTCTTTAATATGCATTACTCATGCTGTTTCCAGTAATGTCTACTGTTGAAGTGCTAAAATCAGTTCATGAAGAGATTAAGTACTATATGAGTTAGGAGAAAGATACAGATGAGCAAGGAAAGATCGTTGAAGACTCCTCTGACTTAGGCATTGGGCATAGTTAGGTTTTGGGTAGCTGGGGAAGAGTGATAGCACAGCATCTTTTGGAATCAGTATGAAGTCTGGGTTGTTTGTAGCAGGCAGTTCACTTTAGGCAGTGGTAGGAGATGAGTTCAGTTGTGCTCAGAATATAGACAACCATAAAGAACACAGTATTCAATTTCCACCTCTTCAAAGAGCAGATTTATGAGAGGCAGCTAGATGGGTCCAAGGATATGATGCTGGACTTGGAGTTAGGAAGATAAGAGTTTGAATTCTGCCCCAGACACTTAATATCTGCGTGACCCTGAGTAAGTCTGCTTCAGTTCCTCAATGATAGCACTTCCACATTTTTTATTAACTTTTCCACTTTATTATTATTACTTGGGCATTGGAAGCAGGAATGTCTTCTGTAGAGGGGGAGGTATGAGAGGGCAAGTTGTAGGAGCTGTGGTCTGTTGATAAAAGAGAGATCTCTGCAACATTATGGATGAAACCAAGTACCAGTGGGCTAAAGGAATGTATTGAAAAGAAGAAGATGGACATACCTGAAGCATATTTAAAGTAGTTGACCAAGGACACCAGATCACAGAGGAGGTAAAATTAGGGAGAAGCTGAAGGCATTTTTCCTGAATGGTGGGTGCTGATGGGGAAATTGAGGTATCAGTGAGGATGCAAGATAGATATAATGGATGTTGTAGAGTGAGAGAGCTAGTCACAAAAGAAGTTGGGGTGAGAAATGGGACCATCCAGTTTGAGATGTTTAGGCGTGAAACAGCAGCGGTGATGCACAGCCCATGACCATGCTCTCTGGCAGCTCATTGTGGAGTGAGGGCGGGTAAATGGAATGGCAGTGACCCATGTGACTTCTTAGTGGCACGTTGTGAATGTCAAAGTGAACAAAGATACAGAGAAGAGCAGGACAGACACAGGAGATGACAACCAAGTGCTGAAGTTATCTAGCAGGGTGAAGGGTGGCACTTGGGAATGGATATATGAAGGTAAAGGTGATAGCATTCACAGCTTATTCTTTAAATGGTTCTGCTCCAGAATGGGTTCCAGATTCTTCAAGTGAGTCTTTCAGGTATGGAGAATTTATGAGTCTTCTCAGTAGTTTAAATATATATTTGTAAGATGTGGGGAGGAGTGCTGTAGACAAATCACAATAATGACAACCCGGTAAATAAAAGCACAGAAGCTTGGTAATTTCTAGGAGCCCCCAGTAGCGTGGATAGAGGGAAGAAGCAAAGCCTTGGCATCAGTTCTGTAGTCAGTGCTACAAGTTCCATCCCCCAGCTGCAATATAGAACATCAGGCTACCCTTTTGTATGATCTTATGCATTTTCGATGTATCTGAGAGTTTAGGAAACAGCTTGAAGACACAACTGCATTTAAGGTCAGGGTTGGCTAACCAGTAAGAAAGATGTAGATGGGAGATGTAGGGAATGAGGCATAGCTTGAAACACTTTGTGGCCAATGATGGAGGAAGATGAAGAGGGAGCATGGTGGTCAGTATAATAGGGGACCAGAGTAGCCTAGAATGAGGAGACACAGAGTGGCTGGTGCCAGAAGTGCAAAGAGCCTAGATGTCTCTAACAGCCTCCTTTTATTTTCTGGGGGTCATTCTCACCATATTCTAGTGTCAGTTTCTTCCCCAGCAATAACCTCCATTTGGACACCTATTTATCAGGTGATGCTGTTTGTAAAGGTTCTGCTGTCTCTTCCTTCCCTAGCAAAAACTCAGGGGAAGACATTTTGCACAACTTTCTTTCAACCAACAGAATTCTTTAATTACTCTGATTTAGCTTCACTTAAACTAGTAGGCTTGGATATTCCTCCAATGCCTGGGACCTGGACGGGGTTTATCTGAATGTCAGGCCCTGACTTGTTTCTGATTCCCTATACCCCTCCTCCATTTCTTCTTTATTTTATCTCTATTTTTGTTTATGGTGTGGGATTACAGAATACCCAAGAATTCGTGTTAACACAGAGTGTCCTAACCTATACACATGGGGTTAAGGCTGATAGTTTTCCAGAATATTGATTCCATCAAGAGAATGATGCTGTTTATAACTTGTCACTCACCTTGCAGGGTATAATTGGCTCCTGTTACCCTGGATTTCTTTAAGTGACAAGTTGTTCTGATAGAGAATTTCTTCTGAGGGCTTTTATTTCTCAATATTCTGTTGTGCATAGACAGTTCAGCACTGTTTTGTCTTTAGCCCTTCCTAAGAAGTGTTTGCATTGAAAAGGGACCATGCTTCAGCCTTGGAGTCAGGAGGACCTGAGTTCAAATCCAGCCTCAGACACTTGACACTTACTAGCTGTGTGACCCTGGGCAAGTCACTTAACCCTGATTGCCTCACCAAAAAAAAAGAAAAAAAGAAAAAGAAAAGGGACCATGGTGGATTACAGTGGACTTTATTTTCCAGGGAGGCAAAGAAGACTTTTTGTTGACCTAAGAAACTTCAGGATCTGAATCTGAAAGAAGACCTCTGACCTCTGGTCAGACTTGAGTCTCCTTTTCCTTGAACTATTTGTACAATATTGCATATATTGTCATGTTGCCCGCAGCCAGATAGTACACTGAACGGAAAGGCGCAAAATAAAACGTGAAGACATGGGCCAGGCGGAGCAGTAGAACTGACTCAGTTTATTCTTCTGAGGGTACAGGGTACGTAGAGAAAATCCATCCTAACTTCAAAGAGTCCTTCCCGTGAGACACTCCCTGAAACATCTGCTAAGGATGTGATAACATATATTTCCTCCTTATCAGAGTTCCTGGATAGGGTTGTAAATTCCAAGGCTTTTTCCTGGCGCCTGTACAGAGGAGTGAATATGTAAATCTAAGGTTCAAAGAGTGAGAAGGAATGTCTCAGGAGCCTCCTAGCAGGGAGAGATTTGGAGAGCCCTTTGGGTTAAAGCCTGGGCAAAGGTCAAACTGTCCTGGATCTTAAACCCATATCGGACTCTTAAGAGCAGCCCTCAACATTGTCAGACTTGGCTGATATGTTAATTGGTTTTGCTGAACTGTTTTTTTCTCTTGTTTATTCTTAATTACGTGGAATGGCTCATTGAATTGGGGAAGGAGGAGCTATTTATTTGGAAATAAAAGTGATATGAAAACAAATTCAATAATTTTTTTTAAAAGAATGATGATAAGGAGAAGTAAAACGAGGTCCCTTTGGTCTTTTAATTGCCTCACTGAAGGACCCAGTAACTTATTATGTAGGTCACTGGCTCATCGTCCTGAATCTTTCCAAGGAAGCTTCTAAAAGACTATATAAAGTATGCCACCTAAACTATGCAGATTTAATTCTTCCTGTACCTTGGGTAGCTTCTGGATATTCCCACTGTCTATGATTTCTGTTGCTATGAAAGCTTTTGGGGTCCTCCTTAGTGCCTATGGTTTTATAAATGTAGTACTTCCCAATTTAATCTTTCCAAAACAGCAAGCTAGAGTCCAACTACTTTTGTGTAGATGTGAATAACAGGTTTCAAACTAAGTGAAAGTGTGTGACTCAAATGCTCAGTTGTGAAGAACATTAAATGCTAGAGCACTGCTCTTTCAATGTGCTGCAGAGTTAAAGATACTTTTTTAATAGCATTATAATTTTTTTTATTCATGAAAATCTGCTGTGTCTCCCTCCCACCTCCACCATTCCACCTTCATTGAGAAAGAGAAACAAAATCACTTATAACAAAGCAAAACAAATTCCCTCATTGGCCATATCCAAAAAATTATGTCTCAAATGATACTTTGAATTCATCTGTCAGGAGGTGAACAGCATCTTCCATCATCAGTCCTCTGGAATTGTGGTTGATCAAAGTTCTAAAATTATTCAAAGTTGTTACTTTTCCTAGTAATATTGTTATTGTTTAAATTGTTCTGGTTCTTACTTGACAGGGTTGAATACAAAATTAAATACGTAGATGATACTCAGTTAATGCTTTGAACAACAACTTAATAATTGATCTGCCTCCCTTCCCCAATACATTCTCCACAAAGCTAATACTCCAAAGCCACCACTGTGACCTGTCCCTCCTCAGTTCAGTAGAGTCTGGTGTCTCTATTGCCCCCAGTAGCAAATACCAGCTCCTTTTTATTAAAAACCCTTCCCTTCCTTATTCCAGACAACTTCTCCAAGGCCTAGTAGATGGTGTCCCCCTATACCCACTCTCTGGTCCAGCCAAACTGGCCTTCTTAATGTTTCTCATATACAACATTCCATCTCCCATTCCATTCCTTTTCACAGACTCCTCCATGCCTAGAAGGCGCTTCCTCATCATCTGCCCCTCTTAGAATGCCTGTCCTCCTTTGGATCTAAGCTCCAGTACCACCTCCAGAATGAAGACTTTGCTGACCACCTCTTTTTAAAAATTTATATGCCCAATTCATTTATCTTTCTCTGTTTTGTTGATAAAGGTGTTTAAAGATATACATTTTCCCCTAAGGACTGCTTTGGCTGCATCCAAACATTTTGGTATATTTGTATATTCTCTCTGATAAGAATGTAAACCTTCCATAAACTAAGGAATAGCTCCTTAAATCCTTGCCATAAAGACAGCAGTGACTATTAGACTGTAAATTCCTTGAGGGCAGGGACTATCTTTTGCCTCTTTTTTGTATCTGTGGTGTTTAGCACAGTGCCTGGTACGAAGGTGCTTAATAAACACTTGTTAATTGTTTGACTATGGCCCTGGCCTTTATTAGCTTATGTGTTGGAGGTAGGAGGGTGTCGTCAGCCCCGATAAGTAAATACCAGATATATACATGGTAAAGAAAAACTAACTTCTCCAGGAAATAGACCTTAGAAATGAGGGGCCAGGAATGGATAAGGATTGGTCTCATACAGGAAGTGTTGCTTGGGCTGAACCCTGAAGGAAGGTAGAGAGTCTACAAGGCAGCAATGGGGAATACTCAGACCCTGAACTGTTATGGATAATTCTGGTACAGCTGGCTAACTTCTAGTCACCCCAGAGGTCCGTATGAGAGAGGATCCCTGAATGACCAGGAATTTGTTGAATGTTTCAGGAGTCAGTGACGTTCAAGGATGTGGCTGTGGAATTCACCCAGGAGGAGTGGAGGCAACTGGACCCTGCTCAGAGGAGCTTGTTCAAGGATGTGATGCTGGAGAACTACAGGAACCTGGTCTCCCTGGGTAAAGGCAGATTTCCTTTTTGACTCCATATTTGCTTACTGGGCTTCACATTCTCATTTGCTAGAGGCTGTGTGGTGTCTCCAGGGCTCAGCTCACTTCCGTGGGCTCAGCTGGTGTGGTGGGCAGGGATATTCCAGAATATGTGCGATATTGGGGCTTGTAGGATCCCAAATTTAGAGTTGGAAGGGATGACCCTAGAAATTATCTAATTCCTGACCCTTATTTTATGGATGAGAAAACTGGGACCCAGAGCAACTCTATTCAAAACCCTTTCTCATTTCTTCCCCCTGAGCAGGACTGGCTGTTAACAAACCAGGTATTATCTCCCATTTGGAGAGAGGAAGAGCACCTTGGATTCCAGAGAGAGCTGTCTCAGGGGGCACCTTTCCAGGTGGGTGATTGAAAACCAGGCAGGTGGGAGTCACTGCAAGGAAGAGCTGCAGTCTTCTGGTTGTTCAGGGGCAGTGTCTTTGAAGTACTGGCTGAGGTCCATGCCTCAAAGTTTCCCGGGCTCAGGGAGAAAGCCTGCGTTTAGCCAACTGGAGTGTTCTCATATACATTCACCTTTACTTCAACCAGCTGGTTTCCCCAGGATCACTGAATAGTAGATCTAGGAAGGCCCTTAGATGTCATCTCCACCATCTGCTTTTATAAATTGGGCCCCTGGAGCCCTGAGACCTTAAATGAGAAAGAATCACATGATCTCAGCCCTGGAAAGGCCTTCAGAGGCCGTCTAATCTAACCCACGCTTTTATAGAACAATTAGAGAAGCAGAGGTCATTCTGTGTCCTACCTGCCAAGGGTCCAGCCTTTGCTTTCATATCTTCACTGAGGTGGAGCCCACCACCTTCAAGGCAGCCCATTCACCCCTTCCAGACAGCCCACAGTGGGGGCTGTGTTCACCAGCTCTTTGTACCTTCTGCCTGAAGCTCTGCCCTGTGGGGCCAAGTATCGCAGCTCCAGTCCCTCTTCTTCATGACGGCCCTTTAACTATTAGAAGATGGCTTTGATGTTCCCTATGGGAGGTTCCTCTTCTCCCGTTAATCATCATGAGCCATCCTGCTTGTCATCATCTTGGCACTATCTGGCTTATCAGTATCCTTCCTTGCCTTTTACACGTCAGCATAACACTTGCTTGGTCTTCTGACTCTTTCCACTGTGTTCAGTTTGACATTTCTGCTTGTTGGTCTACGCAGTTTCAGAGAAAGATGTTTATCTTTCTGTATCTGTCATTGTCAGGCTTCCCTTTCCACCTTGTCTTCCCCCTTCATCCTCTTCCATGGTTATCCCAGAATCTGTCCAGGATCTCAGGAGCGACCTTCCTGGGCCAGGCTTCCCTCCCTCTTGCTTGCTTGACTGCTCACATGGCTTAGATGAGATGAGGGTCAACAACTGTTACTTATGATGACATGTAGCCTGCCATCGACTCCTGAGGTCTTCCAGGCCTGCCCTTCTGCCCTGCCTCTATCCCTAGCAGTCCCTGGGCACTGTCATCCAACCTGCCTGTGTAACTTATGGATCTCATCTGTCTCCTGAATCCTGGGCCTTTGCCCATGCCTGGCAGCTGACATTTCTTTTACACGTTTTCTTCCGTATTTATAGTGTAAGGTCTCTGAGAGCAAAGGCTGTCTTAATTTGTCTGTTTGTATCCCCATGGTTCTTAGCTAATAATAAGTACTTAATTTTTTTTTATTCTTTCTCAACTCACCTAGGTAAACATTTATTAGGGATCAGGGCTAAGCCCTGAGGATACAAAGAAGCCTTAGTTCTTCTGTGTGATGCAGTATTTATGCAGAGAGGTGAAAATGAGATGATTCCAGGAGGGAAAGATCCCTGTCACCTGATACAGAGGTGCAGAATGTTGAGAGATAAGAAGAGGCTTTGTGTAGATACACTGTGGTGGTGTTTGAGCAGAGCCCTGAAGCCATGGATTTCAGGTGTTGGAGGTGAGGAGGGAGGTAAAACAGTTAAAGTTTGAAGGAATGTTTTCAAAAGTAACCCTTCAGATTTTTTGCTGTGTCAACTTGGAATGTGAAGGGCTGCAAACAAAATGCAGTGAAGTGTGTTAGACACAGTCAGAGATGGGCCTTAGGGGCCAGGTTGTGTCCGGGCTTCTGGTGGGCTTGGCCATTTGCTGTTCCTTCACCTGGACGTTCTATCCCCGGTCACTGGCTTTTGTGGGGTCTGGCCACTGTAGCAGGAAGGTGCTCCCTTCTCCCTTTGACTCTTTGTATGTATCGTTCTTTTAGTTCTACTTTCTTCACTCTGTGGCATTTCATAAAAGGTTTCCCATGTTTCTCTGAAATCTTCAGGTATCACTTCAAAATCTATTATTATATGATAAAATTATGTGACAAATTCCAGAGGTGACATAAACCTTAATGGTTATCAGTTAACTGGCAAGCATTTATTAAATGCCTACTGTGTGCCTAGCCCTGTGGTGGGTGTCGGGGATAGAGACAAAAATGAAAAAGTCCCTGTTCTCAAGGAGCTACCATTCTTTCTAGTTATTCCACTAGTTCCAAATCTACCTAGTTTTGTTACCGCTTAATCCACACCTCACATTTCCTCTAAGAACAGAATGAGAAACTTGGTCAAAAACTCCACTAAACCTAGGCAAACGCTATCTACAGCATTTGCCTGATTTACCAGTTTAGTTACTCTTTAAAAAAAAGACAAAAATCTTAGTCCCACCTGTTCTTGATGAAGCAATGCTGGCTAGCCTTTTGTGATCACTGCTTCCTTGCTGTGATTTTCACTAATCATACCTTTATAATAGGTTTTAGAATTTTCCAGGACTGGAGACCAAGATCAGGGGCATATGGGTTTGAGATTCCATTCTTACCTCTTTTGGGAATCAGGATATTTTCCTTTCTCCAGTGCTGGGGTGATAGTATTAGTAACCAATTTTGATATCATGTTTTAAAGTCTGTGGAGCACATTACATATGTTATCCCCTTTGAGCTTCAGCACTTTGGGATTAAGATACTCCAGGTATTATTATTGTCTCCATTTTAGGCATGAGGAAACTGAGTCCCAGAGAACCTAAGGGACTTGTGCGTGGCGATAGAGAGTAAGTGTGAGAGGTAGTGTCTGACCTAGGCACGACCATCTTTCATTCATTATCAACGTTGGTTCAGTATTGACACCTGCCACTCTCCTCAGTTATCAAAAGTCTAGCTGATCTGGCCCTGTTGTTCAACTGTCTTCTTACTTACCTTGGCCATTAGCTCCTCATAAACAAGTAAGGCAGCTTTGAAAGTTACATAAGTTTATTATGTGCTTAAGAAGAAAAACAAGCTGTACGTAATCGATCAGCATTTCATATACAACCCCCTTCTTCTGTTCTATAGTATAATTTGAAATGTTCATTTTATTTGGCATTCACTTTAGAGTTCAAACAAACAAACTTATAAGACATTTTTGTTCTGATCTTTAAAGTCCAAAATGGTATGCTTCAGTCTATATTCAGACAATATCAGTTCTTTCTCTGGAGGCAGGTAGCATGTTTCATCACGACATGTCCTTTGGGATTGTCTTGGATCATTATGTCACTGAGAATAGCCAAGTCATTCACAGTTCTTCATCTTACACTGTTGCTGTAACTGTGTACAATGTTCTTCTGATTCTGCTCACCTCACTTTTTATTAGTTCATGTAAGTCTTTCCAGGTTTTTCTGAAATCATCCTATTTGCCATTTCTTATAGCACAATAATATTCCATGATAGTCATATGCCACGGCTTGTTTAGCCATTCCCCAGTGGATAGCATCCCCTCAATTTCCAATTCTTTGCCACAACTAAAGGAGCTGCTATAAATATTTTTGTAGAAATAGGCTCCTTTCCTTTTTTTAAATCTCTTTGGGATACTGACCTAGTAGTGCTATGGCTGGGTCAAAGAGTATGCGAGTTTTGTAGCCCTTTGGGCATAGTTCCAAACTGCTCTCCAGAATGGTTGGATCAGTTCAGAACTCCACCAACAGTGCATCAGTGTCCTAGTTTTTCCACATCCCCTCCAACATTTATAATTTTCCTTTTTTGTCAAATTAGCCAATCTTACAGGTATGAGGTGGTAATTGCTTTTCTCTAATCAATAGTGATTTAGAGCATTTTTTCATATGACTGTAGATGTATTTGATTTCTTTGAAAACTGTCAGTTCATATCCTGTGACCATTTATCAATTAGGGAATTACTTGTATTCTTATAAATTTGATTCAGTTCTCTATATATTTGAGAAATGAGACCTTTATCAGAGACACTTGCTGTAAAAACTTTACCCTCAGTTGTCTGCTTTCCTTTTAATTTTGGTTGCATTGATTGTGCAAAATCTTTTTAATTTTATATAATCAAAATTATCCATTCTACATTTTGTAATGCTCTCTGTATCTTGTTTGGTCCTAAATTCTTCCTTTATCCATAGATCTGACTGGCAAACTATTCCATGCTCTCCTAATTTGCTTATAGTATCACCTTTATGTCTAGCTCATGTACCCATTTCGAGCTTTTCTTGGTATACAGTGTGAGATGTTGGTCTGTACCTAGTTTCTGCCATACTGTTTTCCAGTTTTCCCAGCAGTTTTTGTCAAATAATGAGTTTTTGTCCCAAAGGCTTGGATCCTTGGGGTTATCAAACACTAGATTACTATGGTCATTTAGTACAATATATTGCATACCTAATCTATTCCACTGATCCACCATTCTGTTTCTTAGCCAGCACCATTTTGTTTTGATAATATAGACTTCTTGAAAGAAAATTGAGCTTTGAAAGGAGCTAGGTATTCCAAGAAGCAGAGATGAAGGGGGAGAGCACACCAGGCATGAATTATCACAGGCCCAGTCTAAAGCATGTTCCAGGTGTAGGATACAATAAATCCTTGGGGAGCACAAAACATAATTAAAAGCAACTTGATTACTATAGGATCAAAAATGATCAGAAAAGACATAGGGTTAAAATAAAATAACAATCACTTCCTCCTGCAGAATCAGGAGGCTGATGAGCGTTCTTCAAAGAGTAGCAACAGTCAAGGTGAAGCCTCTGGCCCTAGCTCCCCCGGGCTGTGATTTCTTATCTTAGGCCAGGAAGAAGCGACATGGCCCTCCTCTCCCCTCCAAGGACTAGGTGGCCTACACAAAACAGGTGCCACAGAGATGGAAGACCGAGTGTCTGGCTCTGAGGGAAAATGATGTGCAATCAGCCTGAAAAAAAAGAGACTAGCAGTAGATTCTGAGCAGCTTTGGAGGCCAAGCCTTCTTTTGTAATTGAGAGCTACTGAAGCATTCTGGACCTTGGTTTCCTTTTCTATAAAATGAAAGGTTGAACTAACCACCCTCCAAAGGCCCTTCCCACTCTGGATCTATGATTCTACAAGTCTGTGATGAGACTAGAGCTCC